TTCCTTTTCCAATGTTTAATTGTCATTCTTCCCAGTGATTCCCTTGCTAATTAACCAGTTCAATTATGTCACATGTGAAGGAACACTTGCTAGGTGAGGCAAACACAGCTCTCAGACAAAGGGTAACAAACATTTCAACACTCAAGTTCATATACAGTGTTCTATGATGTGATTTAACGATAAAATTTGAATGTACAAAGGTGTCCTGAACTAAACAGATGCTTTTTGAGTGACTTATGCTGTTTTTGGCAGTTGGAAGAATATCAAATAAATCAATTTCAACTGAATCCCAGTGGTGAAGAAATGGGGTATGAACGTCATCCAGGTCAACACCAAGGCGATGCTCTCTTTCAACCATTGGAGTGTGAGCCAACATTACAAATGGGGTATCAATTTCCTCTTCATTAAATTCCGATGCATGGTTGTTTCTGGTTACTAGCAGACAAAAACATTGTTGTTGGGATTTGATGTAGACTAGAAACAACAAATAATTATGTTGATGAAATGGTGGAGCTATGTTCTAATAATTTGAATATGTTTAACCGCAGATATCGACCTGATCCAGTATCAGTGATAACAGGAGGCCAGAGCATGAACAATTTCATGGGAGGATGGTTACCATGAAAGAGTTTGAACTGTGAAATGAAATTTTATTTGAAAGGAAAATGGAAATCTGTGATAGTATATGTAATAGACTCTACCTTGTAGGAACAACATAAGCAGTGATTTTGTGTGTGAGCTTTCATAAACACCACATAACTACTTAGCTACCTCCTTGTTTGGATCACCCTTTCTTCCCTTTATTAATAAATCTATTGTTTGCACCCTTTCAATTCACCTTCTCATGTCTTATAATAAACTTATATTTGTATAAATAATACAAAAGGGATGAATTTACAGAAAAGCATAATGAGAACCAGGATAATGAAAAGTTTTTCAAAAAAATATTTTTCAGTTTATAAATAATTATGCAAAACTTAACAAATTAATTTATTGTACATAATGTACATGATTAACAATGTAATTATGTATGAAAATGTACATGATTATCCTCAAGGAACATTTTCGGTAACAATAATGATAACTATTGTGGTAGATGAATGATTATTATTTAATAGAAAAATTGAAAGGTTACGGCGACACGGAATAATAAATACAAAAGTTTTTTCAGAAAATATAATTAAAATTCGAACAAGATAAGCTCTTATGTGCCATGAGAATAATACTTTTTCTTTTTGCTTTAAATACATGAAAATACACTTTTATACTCATTTTTAATTTGATGTTTATTGTCGAAATTTAATTCGTCAAATTTAGACTGCAACAATATGTATATAGAATAATAACTCCTTATATAAGTAAATAATAGTATTACTCAAAATTAGTGTAAACCGTTAAACTTTTAAACATTAATCTCTTGCAACATGTTTTTTTCTTCTTTACTCTTCGTAAGAACGAGTCTCTCTTTGGACAATAGAATATTAATATTTTAAAAATAGACCGTAATGATAAAACAAAACTATAACATTTTTAAATTGAAATTATAGACAATAAGTAATACATATCTTCTGTACCGAGATGAAAAAAATAATGTTTATATGTTTCTAGCTTCTGATAGAAATAATATTCTATTAATAGGAAATGTTAATTTTAAGAAATTTATTCCAATAAATGTATTTAGTTGGTAGATAATAATTTTAAAAACAGTGTTTAATTTAAAAATTAAAGAATTAAAAACAGTGAAATAATGAAGCAGAGAAGAATACTGCTTTATTTTCAACCAGGTAATATTTTTACCATTTATTTCTTAATTATTTCTGTTCCATTTATTGTGTTTTTTTTCTATGTATAAAACAGAGACAGGAGTCTGTTGTAGTTAGATATGGATCTGAATATGGATAGAGTTGAAATGTAGGATTTATGTGTATATGCATGCATGAAGCAGACATGTAATTAAACCTTTTCATTAAGAACAAACATGAGATTGTGACTTTTCAAGCTTTCTTCAACAAAACTACTATCTTCTCTATCCTCCTTGGCATTCCCACCCAAAACACCTTTTTTTCCCTTTTTTTTATATTTTTCATCCAATCCAAACCCCTTTTTCTTGTTTCCATTCAATCATTATAATTACATAAATACATCATCAAGTTCACTTTTTCTCTCTTATGATCACAGCATCCAAGACCATTTCTCTCACCCTTTCTTTCTTCAACGATCAACGTTATCCATTTGCCTCCTATTACTATTCTGTTTCGCCGGATTTTCAGGAACAACATAAGCTAAAACAAAAAACAAGACACGATCATGAGAGGAACAAGAGGAGGACACCAAGACCAACAATCTCGCGCCTTGTACGACCTCTCCGCTCTCGTTCTCAATCTCATCCGATCGCCTCCCACGCCGTTGCCCTTCTCCCACATCGTCCCGCAGGGGGCGTCTCGGCGATCGCCGCCGGCCCAGATATCGCCGGCCGGGTTCGCGTCGCTGCTGCTGGGAATTTCGCTGGCTCTGATGCTGTGTGGATCGGTGACGTTCTTCATCGGGTTCGTGCTGATGCCGTGGGTTCTGGGATTGGTGATGCTCTTCTACGTCGCCGGAATCCTCTCCAGCCTATCCGTCTTCGGCCGCTCCATTCTCTGCTACGCCACCGCGCCACCCTCGCCGCGTAAGGACATTCCCGGTAAGTTCACGAAAACTAAATGAAAAATGTTAATTTTGTTTCCGATTAGTGAATGATAGCTTGTGATACGAGCGATTTATCACACAGACTATGGTCTATTTTCTTATGTTTTATTGTGTTTTTGCTTATAATTTTCAAATTTTTATGAAAAAGTGAAAACAGAGTTAGATTCTTAATATTAATGTTGTTTATGGAAAAAAAATCAGGATGTATTGTTTAAGTTGTTCTACGGTTAGGTTTGTGGTTTTCATTAAGATTGTACCAATCTTGAATAGTATTTTTGAAGTAAACTTTTCAATTTTAATCGAAAAACAGAGTAAACAGTACATTTGAGTTTTATCCTTTTTAGAATTTGTGAATTTTAGTTTATTTTTTCTTTATTGGGATGGATGCGTGACGAATTTACTTTCCCCTTTATGGTCTGAAACTTGCTTGAAGAAATAGCCAACAGGATGCAAAGTGATCTGTTTTGGAGAAAGCTCAACAATAAAGTTCTCTTTTTGACCTGTTTTTGTTTGGTTCAAAGAACGAATCTTTGAAGCTTTGGTTGGTTAGTTGGTCTGTCCAGAGAAGGAACTGGATATCAGGATTGGTTAAAATTGGATAACAATAATTTTTGCATGATTAATTTTAAATTATCAGATCAAATTAATGTTTTATTTAATTCTAGTCATAATCTGTAATGAACACGAAAAAGAAAGGATATGCAAGACCAACTATTATCTTTGAAATTATTTCTACTTGGAATATACAGAGTTAATTGCATCTAGCTAGTTTCCTTTTGAATATTCTTAGTGGGCAATCATTGTTAATTTGTTATTCAACTTTCTGGAAGATTGCACTGTATGCTGAGATGTTCAGAGTAGCTTCAATGGGCTTTGATCAACTTTTTTACCACACGTTCTTTCATACCCTACATATACTGTAGTAGTAGTTTTGATTATCATGTTTTTGTTGCAAATTTCTACAATGTTCCGTTTTAATTCAATTAGTCCATCTTATTGGACTACTGTTTTGAATTTGTTAATCTGCATGATGAGCCTAATCACTTCACTAATTATTATTTTTTTGTTGGATACAGCGTGGTAGCTTAATGAAGTGAGAAACGAGGAGAAGGATGGAGGGTTTTGTGCTACCTCAGCAAGACATTATTAAAGATTACGAAGCTTCTCCTTTTAGCGGATGCAGGAATCGTGATATTTGGTGGATGTGGCTTATCTCTGTGCATAAGAAATAGCTTTGTAAATTCTGAAAAATTAAGGAAACACTGTTACCTTGTTTTATTTTGGCACGTATCTTGCTAATTTCTCAAGCATAGGCTGTTGAATTTCCCTTTGTTCAGATGTAGAACAGAAAGAGAAGGAAAATATGATTTGACTCCTGAGAAACAGAGTTTGCATTGGATCAAGAAATCTTTTTTTGGAATCGGATGGTTGTTGTGTTTGATGTCTGTTGAAGCTGTATATAGCTGATACCATTGATTTACATGTCGTAATTGCTATGTGCTATCGAGGGTAATTGATGAACGATGAAGATTATTATCTTGTCACTGATTAATACCTAATTTAGGTTTTTGTTGCCAAAATGAACTTATAATCCACCCAATATCTTTAGCTCTGATGGGAACATGTATGTTGAATTTGTTGATTGGTAGTCTTTACCAGAAATATTTATGACGCTTTCTTTTTCTCTTTCAGCAAATGATGTGAAATCTGTACTGATAGAGTAAATGGAGTGTTTGAAAATAACATTTAATACTAGTCCCATTTATTTTATTTTTTAAAAAAAATGATCATTGATGTCACCAGTTCTTATAAAGCAGTGAAATGAATTAAAAATCAGTTTCTTTACATTTGTCAATGGAATTTTTTATATAATGACCCTTTAAAGTTTTCTACACCACGATTAAATAGAGGATAAGTGTAGGATAGCTGCATGTGATTCCATTCCCACGTTTGCTTTTGTGTGATATGGTTATCCATTATCCAACAACTAGGATAAAGTGTAAGAACAAGATAGCTTTTAACTTCAAGTTTTTGTAAATTCGATGGATTCTGGTTATGTATCAACATTACAAATCTAATATATTTACAGGTAAAACATACTTATTGATATTTTGGCCATGATTATACTAGTTTTAATAGGAATCTACAAATACATAAGTAAAATAAGAAGAAGGTAAGTGATTTGTATAATTGACTTTAACGTAGGAGTATTTTTGACATATATCTATCGACTCTACTTGGAGTTTAAAGACCAAAAAACTAGGGATAACTTGGTATCAAAAACTTAAGACGACGATTGACAGAATTAACAGCACATATCAAATTCAGAGCTAAATTAAACAGAGAATGGAATTAGCCAGTGTTGATATGCACACCAATAGCAATAAGAAATATGGTAATGAGACCAAAGAAGACGATGGTGTGGATCAAGATAGAGACTCCACTGGTTTGCATGTTCCCAAACTCCACCACTCTGCTTTTTCCTGGAACTTGAATCAGAAGACCAGGACTCAGCAACACAAACAGCACCACTGCTATCACCACAGGACCCCAATCACTCATTTTCTATCAAAATATTCTAAGTGATTCTAAGCTTCTACTGCCACAATTATATATCTAGAGCAGTAGTGCTGAATGGGAAGCTACAAATTAAATAGGAAACTCAAAATCAAAGTGAATGACACTGAAGCAGAGATCAATGCAAGCAAGGAATAAACTGAAGAGAGACACCTAGCAGCATGAGCTAAAGGCAAAAATAGTTTAGTTTTAGTTTGGGTGCATGTCACAGTCAGTGATGAATGTTAAAGCAAGTAATTGAGCATTGCATTACGTGGCCGCATATGCTAAATCCAAAATTTGGTTCATTACTGGGACTTGCTAGCAAGATAAGACGGAATCAATTATTTTTTGTGGCCCAAGTTCAAAAGTCCCACATTGATTAGTGTTGAGTAGGTTGACACGTTACCCTTCAATTTTTTGCTTTATAAGGAAAAACTATTAAGACTTTCGTCACTTGGATAATAAATAAAGAAAATTGTATATTTTATTAAATAATTAAAGTGGATTTGGTAAAATATATTTTATTATCTGAAAAACTGTACGAAGAGGACGTGTAAAAATAAAAAATGTGTGTGCGTCGATTAAGTTATTTCACAACTTTGAAAAAACAAATTGTGAATGAATGTTCGCGTGTGATGTTAGAGAATGAATATTTAATACTTGTCTAGCTGAGTTTATTAAAAGAAGGAAAATAGAAGTAACGTTAATATTAAATTATTTTTAAAAGAATTTCAGATTTTAAATTTTAAATTTATAAAGTAAAAAAAAAATACTAACAGATTATTAATTACATATTAATCTTAATTTTTCTTTTAATAAATTATCTTATTTAAATCATTATCATCATTCATATTAAATTAACGAAATTGGAATTTTGTAAATGACTTAAATGTGTGCAACAAAAATAGATATAATTTTTTTTATGTATATTATTTTTTAATTTTAAAAACTTTCATAAAATATTACCGCAGAAACACATTTGTGGAAAAATTTACCGAAAAAGATCACAAGTTTAAATAGTGGATTTAAACATGCCAAAATAAAACAATTTAGCCGTAAATTCATGATTTTCCAGTAGTTAAAAGATTGCGTTGGAGTGTTTCTTAACAGTATTTCTTCTGGAATAATTATTTTAAATATAATCTTTAAATAAGTTATTACAATTTACAAAAATTAACAATAATTTCATAACTGATCATAGTGATACATATATTTATTCTTCTGTAATAACTGCACCCGTTCTTAGATAACATTAAACGAATCAAATCCATATCAAAAGGAAGATCATGATGCTCAACAAGCATAGAGTCAAATTTTACTTATCAAATTAGAATTTCATCTCGACAATATGATAAGAACATTTAAGTAGCTGTAACTCAAATCCTGTGCAGATGTATCAGAGATGAAAGTGAATAATATTGCTTTCTGAAAAAGTAACCAAATATGAAACAAAAGAAACTAGAAACATATGTAGAAATTAAGGTTGGAACTCAGGAAAAAGACACGTAAACGTTGAAGTGGGTAGAACAGAAAGGCATGAAAAAGAAAGAAGAAGAAGTTGAATGAATCCATGTAACTAGCCGATGTAAAAGTGGACCTTAACAGCGAGCAAGAAGAGGCAGATGAGACCAAAGTAGAGAAGCGAATGAACGAGAATGGAAGCAGCACTGGTCTGAAAATTTCCAAACTCCACGCACCTTGAACGACCAGGTACTTGAAATAGCAACCCTGGCATTAGCAGAATGTATAGCACCACAGACACAACCACTGCCCCACAGTCCAACATTCTTCTTCTTCCACCTTCAACTCCTATAACTTCTCATATATCAGTTCGCAGAATGAATTTCATGACACAAAATATGTCTATATATATATATATATCACTGTTGTGCATGCACGTGGTGGTTGTGATTCAGATTTGGATTAAGGATAACTTGCTTCAGATGATAATATTGTGACTATCTGCTTCATCTTTCACCGATTATTTCATGCTCAAGCAAGGAATTACTTATTTCAGTCACACCTTATTATAGAATTAATCATCTCTGCAACATTCTATAATATATATATGTTATGTTCAGATAGCATGGCTTTGTTTTGGTGCAAACTTACTTTGGGCGTTTTTTAAATATGCTGCAAAAAGATGCAGGGAATTTAATATAAGTTTATAAGAATTATAGATTATTCATGAAGTTTCTGGCATATATATATTATAATAATTGTTGTGTATAAACTATAAATAATATTTTAATCTGATAAAAAGTCAGATTAAAAATGTTAAAACTTAAGAAAAAATAATTTACAAAAGTTACATAAAAGAGTCTGAGATATTTTTTAAAAAATGTAATTACTTCTGGTCATTAAAAATTTAAATAAATCACTCTAATTTTTTTTTCGAAAGAAATGCTTTAAAACTGTATAAATATATTTATATATTACAAAATAGAATACACGATTCGAGAAAAGTTACTTTCTTAAATAAATATTTATAATTAAGTATCTTAATATTTAGATAATTAGTTATATTAATTGTACATTTATTACATTCATTAACTTTGACATTAAAATTTGGGAGAAATAGACTTAACCTTGCTTGCAGGAGAATGAAGAAGTTGCAAATTTGTTTTTGATTTTGTATTTTAAGATTAATATTGCGACTACCGACAAATAGATAAAGAAAATACGATAGTGAGAGAACACGACAAATGACAGAGAATAGCCGTGGACTTCGAAGTGTGTATTTGAACATCAAAGTCCAATAATTATAACACTTGTTTGGCTTTTTCTTACCCTTTCTTTTAGAAATCATTGACAATATATTTATATGCTTCTACAACAACCACGTTCTCATGTCCTGCTTTTTCTTATTTATTCATCACATAACTAATATAATTTCAAATATACGACACACATCTTAAAGCTTTTTTAATGTCTTTATTTGGCTAAATTCTCAAATGAAAAGTGTGATATTATAATTTTAGTGGTTACACTTTACAACTTTAAGAAAAGGAAAAAAAATACACGATAATTAGTCAAAAGTTATCTATAACTTACTGTGATTGGAAAACGAAAAAGATGAAAAGGAAAAATATCTCAGCAGAAAAATTCAACACCAACAAAATGAGTAATTAGCTCCAATATTACTTTTTACTTCTACTTCATCGGCTCAAAGGAAAAAAAAACAAAGAATATATACTCTCAAGTGATTAATATAGAAATTTCTAATATAACTATACCTCACAATGAAAAAAACAATTTAGTTCAACTCTTTCAAAAATATCTATATATTTTACTAGAGATGATTACTAAATTCTAAAATTTTATTTTCAGTTTCGTTTAATTAGTAATTTAGTTTTTATATTTATATATTTATTTTACTTAATTAAATTTTTATTTTTGTAAAATGATTTAATGTGATTTTTTTTAAAATTGATATTTTCTTAATTTAGAAATGTGTGTCAAAACCTAACTTTGTTGCGTGTGAAAAATCTAATGATCTTTTATTTTAAAATTTATTTGATTTTGATACATGATACAAGACAAAAAAAATATATGAAAAGACTCGAATTTTAATACGTGTTACTTTTAATAATGAAATCAATTTAACATAAGTAATTATATTTAGTCTTTTTAACAATGCAAACTTAACTAAGGTTTTTTAGAAAAATAAAAATAAAAGTTTAGTTGACTTAAAAAACAAAATAATATGGAAACTAAATCACTAATGAATTTTTCATAATTCATTAATAAAGAATACAAAAATGTGTAATATTTAATGGGAATTAGTAAATAAGGAAAACAAAATTAAAGTTGTATAAAAATTATAAAATATTTGTTCCAATAAAACGAGGGGAAAAGAGATATTTTGGAGAAGTGAAATAAAAAAAAGTAAGTGATGGACAGTGATAGGCTGCAGGTGCTTCCAAAAGGTGCTTACGTTATTACTGATTCACGTTGTTCACGATATCACCCAAGTCATGATTCTACATACACCTGTTCACATCTCAACTGGATTCTTAAATACTATTCCTACATTTCAAAACCTAAGAAATTTCTTATCTATAATTCACTTTCAAATTCAAGCATCAAATAGTTGAAATTACTCTTCTTCATACTTCTTTCTTACAACCTTATTTTACCTTAATCAATAATTGTTTCAAATTCCTTAAACAAAACATAACATAAAAACGACAAAAGAAAAAAAAAAAGAGTCAACAGTAGAGGAATGTTGCCATTGGTGATTGTTAATGCTCTGAATTAATTGGGTATACAAAATTAGCGAAAAGTGAAATCTCACCGAACGTTCATCATCCACGATAGTATCTGTCAGTGCGCCAGTGTTCGAGGACTTGCGCGTGTAGGGTCTTTATCTCTTCTATATCATCTATTTGTTCATTCCTTATAGCTTCGTAGCGTGTGGTGGGAAATGCAATTTCTCCAATTCTAGTTCAACCTATTTCCTTTACGCGATTGATTACTATGACACCTGGTAAAACCTCTCTCTTAATTGTTTTTAATTACTCGTTGCTTCCTTCTGCTTGTTCAATTTTACTTGATTAGAGCTGCTTAATCCAATTTTAGCAATGTTGTGTTTGGGTTTACGATGATACTGAACTTCGTGGCAAAAAGCATCGCGTGCTTTTATTGTCTCCTGTTTGTGTAAATTTTTTGACTTGGTTTGATTTTTTATCTTGTCGTTTTAAGTTTGTGCTGGTTTTGGCTTTGCACCTTTTTGTGTGGAAAGTTATGGTTGGTACAGTACGCTATGGCGTACGCTTGAGATTACAACTTTTACTTCATTGACCCACTGTTGTCCTTCCTGCTCACATGGAGGAATAATTGTTTTTCTGTAATTATACAGTTATGTAAAAGAGGATAGTGAGTTCTTACTTCTTATCTTAGTTTACGATCAGAGAGTTTGCTGTTCACCATTAATGCCCCAAATTTCTGCATGATTCCCATGTACTCGCAAACGAAGAGACAATGGTAGAGGGAACAAAAAGATGAGTTCTGAATTGGTGGACTAATGTGACATGATCATGGTAGGTTTGGAGTACAACATCGATGATCTGTTTGAAGAAGCTAAGAAGCGATGGCTCAAGCCTGTCGAAGTGCTTTACATTTTACGAAATCACGACATGTGCGAGCTTACCCACCAGCCCCCTCATCAGCCAGCTGGTAATGTCCGTTTTCTGTTTGTTGAAATTTGTGCAAGAAATGACGGACATTTTTCATGACTCTTGTTTGTTATTTGATTGTGTTACTAACTGTCGGAAATGTTACCAATTGACTTTCTTAACAGGCGGATCCCTATATCTGTTTAATAGAAGAGTCACGCGTTACTTCCGCAAAGATGGTCATAACTGGCGGAAGAAAAAAGACGGAAGAACTGTGGGAGAAGCACATGAACGGCTTAAGGTCTTTGAACATTTTGTATTAGGCTGTCCTTCTATTCTGAGACATTTATTTGTCTTTCTGCAGCTCATGTAATCCACTACCATCTTCCCGCTTTTGGCACGCTTTATGTTTTATAAAAATGATCCAATTTGGATCAAACTCCTTCCTTTTAGTCTTAGGCAAGAACTATGCAGAAAAAAAATGGAAGATGAATCATATAATAATCATACCGTTGTTACCAACGGCTTGAGCTTTTCATACCAATTGCAATTAGAGCTTCTTCTACTTCATCACTTAACTTTTTACTCATTGGAGGAAATTGAAGAATAAATTTTTAACATTGTTGAGGAAGAAATATTCATATCTCACACGTGTTGAACAAAGTATTATTTGGAAATAATTACGGATCTTCATTGCAAATTTCATATTTAAATCTATCTCCTAATCTTCCCTGTACCATAGATAGCTTCCAAATAATTTTAGAAGAAAAACAAGTAGGTATTTAGTTTGTCTAGCACTCTTTATGAGCATGAGCTGTCATATCATTGAGATGTAAGTTGTAGCAGATTTGTCGATTAATAGTTTTACTGATATTGAGCATTTTTCTCTTTTAAATATAATTCTCTCATTTTTGCTATGTTAGTGTTTTATGCCAACATTTGTTTGGTGATAGAAGTCTATGTACTCAAATTCTCAATTGATTGATCATACTAATCTTCGTGATTAGGTTGGAAATGAAGAAATCCTAAACTGCTACTATGCACATGGAGAAGAGAACCGTTCTTTTCAGAGACGGAGCTATTGGATGTTGGAGCCGTGAGTAAATTTAACTATTAGTTTAGGCAGACCATATTATGACTACTTCTACTTGATTTTTCTTTTAAGATCCAAAAACAAACTTGCAAAACTCATAATTGAGGCAACTTTGATTATTACCACGAATAAACTATCTTCATTGCTATACGAATTAACTTTCAGTATATGTAAAAACTAAAAGATGGGTCCATTTATAGGCCAATATGTTATTGTAGAGCATGTTCGTATTTGCTCATACACTATTGTTTCTTGACAGGAAATATGAGCATATTGTTCTGGTGCATTATAGTGAAACAAGTAAGGTGAGTATCCATAACATGATATCAGATAAACATGGTATTTGCGGCTTATTATGAGTGTGGAAAGGTGTGAATCCTTCTAGTGCAAAACATCTCATCGTCCTACACTCCTACCCTGTTTTTGAAAATGTTATTTTAAGAGCATCCTCCCTTTTGGTGTTCATGATAGAGTGAGACTGGCGGCTGTCTAGGTATACATTACTAAGACAGAAAACAGAGAGGGAAAAGAGACAAACAAACATCAATTCATTCTCATTCCTGTCTACACTCAAGGTGCACACCCCTAAATAACCTAATAACATAGATTAGGCAGCTCATTTAGGAAAAACAATTTAAAGGAAAAAAAATCCAGTCATTGCCTTCCATAATCCTTGGCCTAATACGGTTTGATGATGGCACGTTGGGCCTGATCAAGTTGTGGGCTGGTGGCTCATCAGTTTAGGTT